AAATTGAGTCGAGTTTAAAATTTATATAACTCAAATCAAATCAAATTGAAAGATTTTATAAAATAAATTTGACTCGATTTAACTCGAAAAAAATGAGTCGAATAGAGTTAGTCTTTAAACTCGATTCGACTCGACTCATTTGGAACTCTACTTTTGATAATTAAAATTCCCTTTTAATTTTTGATTCTTTTAATATATATGTAGTATATCTGGTAAAAATAAATTATTAATCAATAATATTAATATAGCTGTAATTTTTAGTGTGTTAATACTCAAAATACAACCATTAAATATTAGTATTAATAAAAGTTTTAAAATGAAAATTTGAGCACTTTATAATTATTAGATTGTAGAAATAATTTATGAATTAACTTCTTTATGATATATTAAATAACCATTATATTCATTACTTATTAAATAGGTAGAAGTTACATGAAATTTAATTAATCCATATTTAATCAGAAATTCTTTTAATTATTGCAAAATTTGATATAAAATTAAGTAGATCATAATAATATATAATAAACTATTTTTTAATAAACATAGCAAATTTTTATTAAATTATATAGCAGATATACACTATCAAAATATCTATATTAGCCAAAATTGATCTATAGTTTATAAAGGTATTTTAGATTGTGTAATATGATATTTATATTAAAAATAAATCAAAAGTAATGATCATATTCACTTAAATCTTAATATTAAAAAATTATATATCAAAAATTAAAAAATAATTCAATTAAAATTATAGGTTTTAAATAACTTTTATTAAATTTATTTCTTTCTGATTATATCTATATTTTTTTTTGAATTTTAATTAATCATTTAATTTATTTTGATATAATAAAGAAACTGATTAAAAATTTTACTTATACAATTAATCTCTTACTCTTTTTCTACTACTAATTAGAATGTATGAGTTACACATAGTAAGCATGTAATATTATTAAAATTTTTAAATAACTTATTAGCTTTAACTAATTTATTATAAAGATTTTTCTATTTAATTATATTTTCTAATTATTTGATTAAAATAATTAATAATATTTTTTACTTATATATGAATATTTTAAATATTTAATTACCAAAGTAGTTTCAAAAATTCAAATTAAATATTTACAAATGAATAAGTCATACCTAAGTAATTAGCTTCTTAATATCTAAAGATCTAAAGTTAAAAAGTATGATATAATATCTTATTCAAATAGATAAATAATTTCTTTTTAAAAAATTGTAACTTTATCTAGCAGTTCTTTCAATTTTATTACTTAGTAATTTATAAAGTAAATCTAATTCTTTCACAAATTTATGAAATTCTTTATCATTTTTAATATTTATTGATTAATCATCTTTTATAATAATTTCAACAAATTTCTTATCTAATCGATTTTTTTGGCAGAAATATTTTGATTTTCTTTATTATTTTATAATAAATTACTATTTGTATAATATATACTTTGTTAAATAAAAAATAAAAAATTACTAATATTATTATAAGATCCTATTTTCCTATAAAAAATTTGCATACGTTTTTTATTATTATAAATAAGTTTTGTATTCATTTTTTAAAATTCTGTATCACATTTCCTTATAATTTATAAGGATTTTTTTTTGGCATTTTTTTTAATAAAAAATGATATATAAAGAATTATTAATTAATAATATATAAAAATAATAAAAAAAATTATATCTTATTATATTAAAAATTATAAGATTTTTACAATGAAATTATATGTTTTTTAATAAATTAATATTTTTTAACAATTGATTTTTACTGAAAACAAAAGAATTAATAGATTTATTATAATTTATAAAATTTATACTTATTTGCTATTATTATTATAAATAGATCTCAGGCAGCATAATGGAAAAAAAATTTAAGTCTCTAGCTAATATTTGATACAAATTGAATTCGTTATTCAAGATAAATGTAAAATAATAAAAAAATTATATTTTATTACATTGAAAATTATAAGATTTTTACAACAAAATTATCAAAGAAATTTTATATTTTTTTAACAAATTAATATTTTTTTATACTAAAATAAAAGAATTAATAGATTTGTTATAATTTATAAAATTAGTACTTATTTGCTATTATTATTATAAATAGTACCTAGACAGTATAAAAAGCTTAAACCTGATTGTTTAATTTTAAAATAATCTTAAATATTAAATTCATATAAAAAAGATACTTATTTATCTTTAAATAGATTTGTAACTATAAGAATAAATTTGCAAGGATTGTGATAAAAATTTTTAAAGTATACCTTCTGTTTTATAAACTGTCAAAGTAATTTAATAAAAAATAAGGTAATTCAGAACTTAGCTAATAAGAGTGTTTTTACAATATATTATTTTATATATATATATATATAAAGAGAGAAAGAAAGAGATTGAAATTTAGATTATATATTAGTATATATTTTAAGATTTATTTTATTTATTTACACAAATAAAAAAGAAAGTTGAATTATTTTTAATAAATAATAAATAATGTATAACTATTCTTTCATATTTTAACTTTATTGTATAATTTTGATTTACATTTTTTAAACCAAATAACTAATAATGAACTGTAATTTAGATTAATATCTAAATGCATTTTATATCAATATAATTTAATAAAAAAATATTTTAATATATTTTTCACTTGTTAAGATAATTTGATCCCTTTTACATAATATTTTCATATAAATATTAATGATTTCAGACTTAAAAAATTAAAATTTATTAAAATGAATAGTCATATAATTTGTTATTGGCTAATCATATTAGTATATAATTAGTCAATCACAGAAAAAGCCTGCTATGCTTACCTAGACTATATGATGAGAATTTTATGCAGATTTTTATGAATTGTTTTAATACAAACTTTTTAACCAGTTATTTCTTCTGTAATTTTAGTAGCTAAAGAATTATTATTTTAGTGACAATTTCCTTTAAACTTTACAGCCATTATCATCAAATAGTAGAGGTTGACCACTTTGATTTTTGCTTAAAGGTGTGTTTGCATTTCCATATTATTTGATTATTCTTCTGATTGTAGACTCTAAAATGTCAAGAATTTGACTAATTTCTAATTTCTGTTTTTTTATGACCACCTTTATGTAGTCCAATTATTTGTCCACATTCAAAAATAGTAAGTTCTGAATTTTTACCCATCTTTTGGATAAGAAAAGTTAGTGATTTACATTTGATACAAGTTTTTGATTATTATTGTTTTTTTTGGTTTTTAATTGTAAACAATAACTAATACCTAAAAAAAGAAATTGGTGCTACCATAAATATGCGTAAGAAACAGAGCTTTCAAATGGTACTAAAATTAACCAAGTTTATTATGTACAATTTTTCATAATATTCAAAAAACTAAGCGCACAGTACTGACAGTTTCTTTTGGTTTGCGTGTGATTCAGCCCATCTAACAAAAATATTAAAAGTTATGCGTAAATTTATGGAATGAGTTAAAAATGTTTTTGTACACCGACCAATAAATTTTAATAAATACACAATATCAACATTTCGAGTATGGATGATGTATATGATGGATGTATATGATGTGTGTCTATGATGTGTACGTTACTTTTTGACAAAATCAAATAAAAGCGATTGCGTAGATTAACTCCCCTGTTAGAGGTTTTTCCGCGTGGTTACAAACTAAATGCTAGCTAATAAAAATAAAGATAAAAAACCTTTAAGTTGGTTTAACTTAAGTTGTGTCAATTACATTTTAATTATAAGTATTAATTAAGTTCGGTTACATTAAATCAGTATTCACTTTAATCTTAACCTAAAACAAAATTCATTAAAATGATAGGCTTAAGAATCGATAAAATAGACAACGTTGATCAATGACTATTGCATAACATAACGACATATCATTCATTCATTGTTGAGAACATTTATATTTCATAAAAGTTTATTAAAAATCGCTACAATAAAGGGAATAAGCCGAACCTAAAATTATGTGGAATTTTCCCGTGTAGATTTAATAATTTTTTTTTTTTTTCTAAAAAAAATAATAATAATAACTGGTGGGTTTATGTCATTTATCAATATCAGAATTCGACTTTTTTTTCTCTCGTTCAAACAATCAAAAAATAAACATGTATCACAGCAATCAAATTTCCCAGACTAACACGATTTGAGATAAAGACTCAATGATTGTCACTTTGCCCTTAAATATATGACGTCTTCCTGCAGTCAATAGTTTTAACCAATCGGAAGATATGAATACCAGTATCTCCGTGAAAAAAAAATTAGATGAAAGCTGAAAGCATATTTGGAAAACAAATCAACAGGGACTTTACTTGTATGACATTATAATCCTTTTATTATTATTAAAGTTTACATTCAAAAGATTTTAAACATACATGAATAAAAGGAAATAGGTAAATAAATTTTAAAATAACAGTCAAGTAACGAGATAAAACTTTTTTTTTTTTTCCAAAAGAAGGTTTTAAACAAATGAAGCGCCATTGAAGAATTCTTCCACCAAAAGATTATTGAGATTGTTGAGATTATTGAGATTATTGGCCATTTGAGAAGGTAAATTTGAAATTCTGTATAATGTATCGTTATTATTGAACTGAACTCTACTTCTTTGACAAATCCTATTTGCAAGTTGGTTCTGTCTTCGATTAATGATTCTTGGGGGTCGTGTAGGAACGATTAAATTTCTTCTTTGATAAAATTGTTTTGTAATCCGTTGTCTCCTACGCCGAATCACTCTTGTTCGATTATTGTTTCGTTCAAGATCGTTTAAAGCTTTGATTGGAATCATTTCGAGATGAGTTTGTTTTTTTTTTCTCGATGAACTTATCATATTTATATAATTATACCGACCAGATTCATTATAATTTAAAACTTATTTGTCGTATTAATCAAAGGTTAGGTTAAAAAAATCGGTAATCACCATTCGTAAACATTACAACTAAATTTTGATCTTAAATATTGATATTTCATCTGAAAAATTCATTGTCGTTATGGTTTCAATATGAGCAATAAATTTTCTTAAAAATACTTGACTCAGGAAAAAAATCTTGCACATTAAAAGAAAATTTTTATTTTTCGTTAGCACGTGCTCCTTGAACCTGACATGTTTAAATTATACAAGGTATTTTTTTATCTTCATATCTCACTCACCTGTATTGGATTGGTTGTTGGGTTGAATAAATTGAGTTTAAGATTGGTTTTACATTACATACTAAAATTTTATGCTTACATTTTTTTATGAGCACTAATAGTGTTCTGTACAATTGTCGAAGGGTTAGACATTTCGTCATAATTTTCATTAACACTAAAGATCTTTTGATAAGGGCATCCTTGTTAACAATTCAAAATTGTAACCATCGATACAATCCCCAAGCAGAACCACCCGAACCTGTTTCACCAGTTCAGCCCTAAAAAAAAAAAAAAACCTGTTATCTCTCTATTTGGCTTAATCGTCAATGCACCCGATTTTTTTTTTTTGTAAAAAAATTTTTTTTTAAAAAGTTTTTCATCATTCATTTCAATCATTCCTTGGAGCAAATGATTTCCAATCGAAACCCCAATGGACAATAGGTTCAAAGACTAATAATCATAAACGAGTCGGGAACTATGCTACATTATTGAAGTTTCTCGAATAAGAAAGATAAGAAAGTCTCTCCGTCACTTTCATAATTGTATCTCAAGTATTGTTGTATAAAAAAAAACCATAATGATATAATAAAACAAATATCAGTTAACTATTTATGTTCATTTACACAAAGCGAAAAATGGCGTATCGAAACGGTGTTGTAAATTCCGTTACAATCAAAAAAATTCCTTTTTAAGGTGAATAAAGAGCAGAGCAATTATTTTCGAAACTGTTATTATAAACTAAATCGTGTTAACTACCACTCCTATTGAATACATTTTATAAACTAGATCGTGATCTTTTATATATACATTTATTTGAACAAGGGAGACCCAATATTTTTCATTTGAAAAATCGAGAATTACCAATAACGTTACACACACATATAAAAATAGATCACGTGCGGGATTTAATAATTTTCACTTTTTTGTGCAAATAAATAATTATTGACGTGAAACCATGCTAAGATCTCGATGAACTACAGGTTGACTTCCCTGTTGCAATACCCACATTATTGAACAAAACTTAAATTCTGCGAGTTCGAGTATTGTGACCTCGCTTGTATTGTGCGTGTGCATGAGTCAGAATTTTATGCGGTAATAATCAGATGTTGTTTCAGATAAACTGTTACATCAAAATCATTTTTTAAAATAAATTTTGACTGATCTTAGGAAGATGAATTGACAGGTTGATAAATAAATGGAAACATTATGAAGTGTATGTATCATGTGCACGTTTTTTAAAATACGCCTCGTTAACCCACTTAGAGATTTATCCGCATATGTTATAAGTAACAATGTCTCATTTTTGTCATGGTAATTGAATTAAATTGAATTATGCATATATCGAACAATTTTAATATATGATAAATAAGATAGGCAACGCGTTCGAAAATTATAACATTTTTTTTGTTAATGTCAATTTTTTTCCTTTTACCCTTTTCCCTTAATTTTGTTTTTTTATGAAATCTCATATTTTCCCCAGAGAAAAATTTACTAAAAACAATATCTTAAAGTGTCAATTGACGACTGGTAAATAAATTTCTTAATTTAATTTTTGAAGACGATTTTTGATAGCAAAACATATGTAAGTAAACAGGTTTTTTTTAAAACAGAGAGGAGTTTTATTGCAAAGCACATGCAAAAGATTTATTTGTATCATGTGATTTAATTTGTTGGTCGTACGAAAACTACATTAATTATACTTTCCCATGATATAAACTAGTTTTGAGAAAATTTATTCGTACGTTTTACATGGGTGTTATATAAAATTATCTTTTTGAGGGAAAAAAAAAAGATGCATGCAATAATCTTATGATAACATGTGAAATCTTTTTTAAAAAAAAAAAAAAAATGAAACAATCAAATGAAACAAAATTGTACTCCGTCTTTTTTTTTTTTTTTCATTGTAGGATTACTAAATACAGGATCATCACCTAAACGTTTCGTCCAATTACATACACTCTTTATTTTTGAATCACAGATTGTTATCTCGTTAGGCGAACTTCCTGGGCTTTCAGCTAATCTCGTTGATACCCGATCTAATACTCGGATAATATATATATAACGAATCAAAAAAAAAAATTTATTTATTTGAGATAACGTCAAAATTTTTATTCATTATTAATTAATATGATTGATCTCCTATGATTTGACTTTGACTTCTTTTGATCTTTTGATCGAATTATTATATTTATTTTCCTAAAAAAACTAAAAAAAAAAATTGTTCTAATAATCATTTTTACACACTACCATTTTTTTTTTCTAAATAAAACCCTTTCAAAGTGTAAAATTTACGCCAATAATAAGAAGACCCCCAAAAAATACATTAATTACATCATAGAAGTACAAATAAAGTTTACACTTAATATTGTATACATTTAAAGTTGATTACATTCAAAAATCTATTTCTTTTAACAATCATAACATAAAAACTGCTAAGAATTACTCTCTAAAAATAAGCTTAATTATAGATCAATTATGGATTAGCCGTCAAAAAAAAAAAATTCCGTTTCAAGGGAAGGTTTAAACGAATGAAGCGCCATTGAAGAAGTTTTCTATCAAAATATTATTGAGATTATTAAGATTATTGAGGTCATTGATCATTTGAGTAGGTAAATTTGAAATTCTGTTTATATTGATGAGTTGAGCTCTTTGATAAATTCTACTTGCAACAACTCGCTGCATTCGTAGGTTCCTTCTTCTTTCCATGATGTTTGGAAATTTTGTAGAAGTGTTTAAAGGTCTTCTTTGACAACTTCTATTTGTTCGAAAGAAAATTTCTTGGGATGCAAAAGTATTTGGAAACATTTTATGTTTATGATACAGAATAAAAAAATTTTTTCATCGTATTTATATCTACAAAATGATTCTTATCATTGAAACGTCTTTATTCGTCTTTAATTAAGAATTAATAAGCTTACAATAAACATTTTTTTATTCCGTTATTCTTATTTATTTTTAATGAGTCCTTCTCGATCATTGAAAAAAAGATTGATCGGGTCTCGCCAAAATTAGTAAGGAGTATAGGCAATAAAAATCAATCTTTTTTTTTTTTTAAAAAAAAAATTAAAGAATAATTGTACTATTATTATTGTACTACTATTTTCTTTTTTATATTGTCTTAAAAAAAAGTTACATTTAATTATCAACGTATTCAGAACCAATGCCGGATTTTCTATTACTGAAATCCGAAATCCAAATTGAAAGTTATCGTTATCCTTTTCTGTTTTACCGTTTTTGCAATTTAGAAGATTTTGCGCCCTATATCAAAAAAAAACTCCCACAAAAGCAGTTAGTTAACATTATCAGCCCACCAAATGCTTGAGACTTAGTCCAAGTCATAAAATATTTAAATGAAAAAAAAAAATGTTTGCAGGTCTTTGTAAGTGATAAATAAATGCTATTAAGGCTTTTTTAGTTACTCTAGTTACGCTGGATTTATTCTTTTGGAGTTTTTTTTTTTTGTCAAACGTTTTGCCAAATTTTATTCGTTTTCTTATTCCAGAAGTTTTAATTATCTTTATTTTGTTAACATAAAATACTTTTTTTTTAGAATAATGTTGTCATCATTCATATAAATTAAACAGGTTTTTTTGGATCTGGTACTTCCGTTGAACGAATTTGGAAATGTTGGAAACTTACTGCGCCATCGCTGTAACTCGTTAGTAAATAATGACCAATGGTAATACGACAATATTTACGTTTATATATTAAAAAATATATATGTATATTTATTCAAAAATTTGTTATTTATTTATATGTATTTTTAATAAAATTTAATATGAAACATATTTAATTCTATATTATCACCTAATCGGTTTCACCAAAATTTGTGATATATAAAGGTGTGACTGGTAAAAGGTAATTTCTATATAATCACTATCATACTTAAAATCATATAATATAAAAATTAACCAAAAATAAATTTTATTAAAATGCTTATTCAAAATTAATTATATAATTATAAATGTTAAATATTATATAATTGCTATTTAAAAACTAACAAAGTACTAAAAAATCTAATTGATATTTGCTTCTAAGATTCTTTATTCAGCTCTTTAATTATTTTAAAATATTTTTTAAAAAGATTTAAATCTTTTATATTAAATTTATTAATACAATGTTACTTAAAAAATGAAATCCAAATTTTTAAAGATTTAAAGTATCATCAGAAGATATTATAAATTTTAGGATTATTATTTTAATTACTTGTTTCCCTTAAATTAATCTTATAATATCATTTTCATTTAAAATATTCTTAATTGAAATTCCTTTTAATTGTTAAAAAATTTAATTAATGCATTAGCTAATAAAAAGTAGAAGATTATCTATATCAAGTTCTTTTATTATTTAATCAATATCAGTTATTTTATATTTATTTTTTTTATTGGACTTATAATATATCATCTATATCTCATTAGATAAAGAAGACAAATTTCAGTTTTTTTAACTATTATATATTGTTTCTTTAATCACAGTTTTATACTTTTATTATATAGTTAATTGCTTCTTTTATTTTAATCTTTTTACTATTTATATCTTTTTTATTTTCAAATAAATCTAGCATATAATAACAATACTTCTTTTTAAAATAATTGTTAAAACTTATAATAATTCTAACATTAAATAGTTAAAAATAACTTATAGTATTAAAAGATAAAA